AACTCCATGAGTTTAAGAGCCTTTGACTAATTAAGAGCAGAGAGATTTTCACCATGCTGCCACAACCCCACTGGAAGAATAATTTCCAAGTGTTTTGCTCATTGGGGGCATATGAGGCCAAAATTACAAACACGTAAGTGCCCATGTACGTACATCTATCTATCTAAATATATAAATACACACTCAGAGTATATCTATGTCCATATCCATATTTGTTAAAAACAAAAGCCTTAGAGGCGAACACCTTTGGAGGGAAGAATGTAGATACTGTAACAAAGTGTCTGGTTGGGTTATAAGTTATTTGTATGTTAATCATGGAAGAAATTTCAGAGATTTGATCCTACGAGTGAAGAAGCATGTGTGATTGTGTTGAGTGCATGTGCACACATGCAGAAAGCAACTGTGAGGGATGCCTGTGCTTAAACTGATCAGACAAGTTTTATTAGTTCTGTCCATCGATGCTGTTTTGAAATATGGCAGGCTGAGCCTATTAAGATAGCTCAAAAATGTCTTTCCAAAATGGCTTTTGGGCTCCGGTTCCCACATTCGTTTACTTCCTTGATTCATTTCAAAATCTACTCCCTCAGCATCTGCTGCTCTTGTGCACACATATGCATTGAAAAATGGATCGTTACCCAGCAGTTTTCTGTAACAAAAGAAGGGGTTTGGTCCAGATCCAGAGAAAGACATACAGTAAAGGATCACAACTGAGGAAATGACTGTATCAGATTGCGCGCGAACAGTGAGAAGGTAGAACGCATATGAAAGGCAGCTGAGTTAAAAAAATGTATAAATGGAGAGGCAATTCAATTGAAACTGACAACTTCATTGCCTTTCTGGTGTTGGATGGAGCCTGACTCCGCAATAAATCCTGTACACCAAAGCTCAAGATTTAGGCAAACATAAGAATTCTTAACTTCATTCCTGTTTGGCAGCATGATCCAATGCCTCTCGCATCTCTGTGAACCTGATTGCCAACCCTTACAGGGCTCAGTGCAGCACTGAGACCCCTTGGGTTTTTAATTCCATGTGTAGATGTTTGCGGTGCCACAAGGGAAGAGTCTGATCTGAGCCAGCAAATGTATCCTGAGTATGAGTGATGCAAAATGAAAGCAGTCAAGGAAAGAAGGATTTGTTAATGGAAGTTAACAAAACACCTCTTATTTTAGTGAAGGTTGAAAAACAACCTTATTGGGATAAGAGAATTTACAAATGCCTTATTATGCTGTTGCTAAGATCACACCTGTAGCATCATGCACCAAGATCATGCTCTTAGCTTCAGAAATCACACTCCAAAGGAAGACTGAAACATTAAAGGAGATACGGGAGTAGGAATGAATTTAGCCAGTTTCATCTAGAGAAATGCTTAATGGCAGGATGATCATCTTAAGGGTCATTTAATATCAGGAAAAGGAAATGACACATAGCACAAGTAGTAACACAAAGAACAATGAATTCAATTTAATAAAGGGCAAATTCAAATTGGAAATGAGGCTAAACTTTTAGATGGTTGAGGGCAGGCAGAAAGGGAAATTGTTTGCTTAATGAGGTAGTTATGACAAACTAGGTAGAAATATTCTGTTTTCTGAAATCAGCGACTGTGGAGTGCAATTTTCGCTGCCTTATACAGTGGGTTCAGCTGGGAGGTCCAGTGGTGTTTTGTCAGCCTTGTCCATCATGACCATTAGTTGCATTAATAGTCCGTATTTTAATAAAGGCACTATGGTAGCAGTGGTACATGTTGAGAATCCTTGCTTCTCTAATGTGAAAGAAATTGGATTTTTTGTGGCTTCGCAATACGAAACAAAAAGTTGAGTGTGCTGTGGTTGTCTGAGGTGAGATTTATGTGAGGCCACATGGAGATTTATAGCCTCACAGCTTCTGTGTCTGGTCAGAACTGTGTTATGGGAAGGCTGGGGGGGAGTTTTCCAGGGGTTGAGGGAGACCAGGGTGCTTTACTCTTCACTGTGTTGCGGAGGCAACTGGGCACCCCAGAGGTACCCGTTGAAAATCTTACTCCTGTATGTCATTCTTACTGTTTCCTTGAAGCAGAGCTGACCCAGTGGCTGTTAGTAATGCCACGGTTCATCTTAATTCACCACCTACAGGGCTTGCTGCTCCAAGTGGGCTCTTAGTCTCCTGCTTGCTTACAGCACTATTTAGGAGCATGTATGAAAACAGCCTTGTATCTGTGTTGCCAGGAAGGCTTTATGAAAAAACAACAAATGCGTACTGCCTGAACCTTCCATCTGAGTAAAAACGGACCAAATGTATTTCTAGTGCAGATTTACTGGCATTAGTGAACAGTGCAAGAACTGATACTGATATTTACGTCAGTGATTCAATATTCAGATTTACGTCAGTATGATGAAGACAAATTATTAACAAAACTGTTTATCTATTTATGGCACAGATAGACAGTTGATAGTTGTTGCTTTATTTTAAATATATTGACAGGAACAAAGTACCTAATTAATGAGGTCTCATAGGGATCCCAGTTAATAATTGCCAACTGATGGGTTTTGCTATGTCTGAAAATTAAATGGTAGCACTGGGTGCATGGAAATGGCTCATATTGTTCAAAACAGCTGATGGTTACTGTGTTTAAGTAAAAGAATTCTCATAAGGATTTGAGCTGCTCAAAATTTAATGCAATTTTTCCAGGGCCTTGATAATCATCAGGAAATGAATGTAAAGCTGTGATCTCATGTCATTTGGAAAGTTAATGGAATAATCTGATGGGCAGAGGTTACTAACTGTACACTGGAAAAGAAAAGTCTTTAGGCATTGGTCTCTGTCAGCAGCAATGGAAGTGGAGAAGACAGTAGATTTTATTCCATAATTATCTGACATGAAAATGGGTGGTGTACCAAAGAGAAGTAGGGCAGTGTTGCTTTTAGTGAGGAAAATAGGTCAACCTAAATACTAGCACTGGTTGTTACATGCTACTATGGATGTGTATGTTGGAGAGCTCGTTGGAAAATTAATTTATTCCTGTAAAAACATTGCTTTATAGAAATCTTTCTTTGAACTTTGAGATTTTCATTGGAGAATGGAAAATTAGCAGTTTGCATCTACCGGAAGGTTTCAGATGGAAACCTGGTTTCTGGTCAAGTTTCTTTCCCCAGTGGAAACACATAAACACTTGCAGGAGTCCATCTTTACTGGTGTGGACCAGTTTTCACCAACTAATGTGTAGCACATACTGTGCTCAGCTGTGAAACTAATTTAGTCTTTTATACTGGGGCACTGAGTTGTTCCTGGGGTGCAGATACCAGGTGGTCTTCCCCTAGAAGGTCTCATCTTTATCCCTGTGTAAAATGGGAGATGCTTTGTGGGATGAGAAAATGCTCCTGTGTTGTTAAACTAAGGACGTATTTCCAATATCTTCCCTCTTTTAAATAGGTGTCAGTCACATTTTTTTGGTTAGATACCATAGACTAAATCCTGTCTCTGCTCTGGGTCTGAAGGTGAACAAAGTAGTTCATCACCAAGGCAAAAGAAGTCTTTCTTTATAACTGTTTCTCTTCATTTTATCTCAGCTTCTCAGTGTCTGGCAGATTCTCCATCCTTTATACCATTCCTCTTCATCTCACTAATAAAGTCATCATTAGCTTTGCATATAAGGGCAGGCTCAGGGATTTCATTACTTCTCTGCAGTTTCATTCACTCTTTCTTGGGTTTTCTTTGAAATTTATTTTGTTTATCCATGTGCAGTGGGGGTTTGACACGGTGAAAAAGGATGAGTTCTGCTCTGAGCCTGGTCTTCACTTTATTCTTAGCACTTGTAATTACTGTGGGATTGCACTGACCTGAAGTGGTGCTCTAACAGTGCTGGCATGTGTATCTCATTTTTATAAGTTTACTTGTACTGTTTAGAACAATCTGAGGAGATTTATAATTGCTTGTTTTGTAATACAGCCACAAAGAATTAAGTAAGGGCTGTATAAGTAATCTCTTTTCCTCTAGCCAAAGAAGCACTGCCATGTTTTCATATATCAACTTATTTAGGGTCAGAGTTTGACTTCTCTCTGCATTTGATAGGTATATATAAGTGCTGCATCTGAGTAGTTCACAGAGGGATTTAGCACTTTGATTTTTAAATGCAGTGCCAAACGTGAAGAGAACAGTGTAGTTTGATTAGAATGGAGCCCATGCAATGGTGAGAGGTACATTTTCAGCAAAAATTACTATGAGAAGAGATGATGGCTTAGGAAAGCATTGCAATTAAAATTGTGACTGACTTGATACTGGAGACGGAAAACTGCTAGCTTTTGATATTTACTAGCTAGGCAGAAACTTGGATAATAAGTGTTTTCTGAGAACAGAGATATGGAGGAAAGATGGCTTATGTTTAAGACACTACACAAGACTCAGAAAATTGATTTCAGTTCCTTTCCTGGCTGCCTCACAGGATGCCTCTGCAGTCTTGGGGACGATTACAAAGTTTTGACCATATGTTTATGCTGCATGTAGTGATCTGGAGCCCTCATTTTAGTTGGGCTTCATGAAATTCTAATCTACCAAGTAATATTTACTCATTTGTGTATACCAGAAAGTAAAAACAAATGGTCTTTGAAAAATTAAACTGGGTCATGTTTACTCTGAATAAGGATTCTATGTCCTGGTCAGTGATGGATGAAAAGTAGGGCCTTCAGAAATGATGACTATATCAGACTCAGTCCTCAGACCAAGCATGGGACCATTTAAATTTTTTCAAAAAATGCTGTGAGGAAGGAGAAGGGTGAAGGGGAGGTGATACTTACCATGAAGGATATGAGCTGTTTTCCCAAGATCTTTTTCACATAACTCAGGGAAGAGGAAGGACCTGGCAGAAGTAAAAGAGACCCTTCCTCAAAGAGGTCTTTATAACATCATTTTTGTATCAGCCAAATGCAGACACACTTCTTTTTTAATGAAGGAAAAAAATGCCTTTTTGTTTTAATAGATAAATCACCCACGAACAAGCTTATGAGAAAAATAGAAGAAAGAAGGCCAAAGAGGCATGCCAGAGAAGGAAGTTTGCAGAGTCCAAGGGGTTCAGAGAAGATTGCAGTGGGACTGCCTCTGAGAGGGAGTGTTTCCATCACCAATTCCTGACGGGTTTACCTTCTGGGACTCCGACCTTGGACTGCTGCCGGGACATTTGTCTTGGACTTGTTCTCTGGACTGGTGAGTTAGTGATGGAATGACACACATCTCTGTTGTGCTGGAACATGATATTTTCAGATTGCTCAGTGTGAGAGGTTTTGGTCTCTGATCATTCTGTCTCTCGCTCCAGTGATGAGAGGATATGTCAAGTAGTTAAAGCACAAATCTGAGAGCTGAAAGACTTGACCACTGTTTCTGAGGCTGCCACAGCCTATTTGTGATTTTGTACAAGGCAAAGAATGACAGACATTAGATGTAGCATTTTCCAGTGGCTCAGGGCTCTCTTAACTCTGTTGTCATTGGACTCAATGGGACATTCTCCCTTAAATTTGTTGGGAACAAGGACCTTATATTTCAGACTGTATGTGAAGTAGGTAGGTTTCTCTAATCATTTGGATATAAAAAGTGTGTGCCTGCTGCAGTGCAGGGAATTGCTGCAACTTTTCAGATGCTGAAAGCATAGTTAACTGAAAAGGTAGGTCACTACTGCTGGCCCTGGTTATACCAGCTCAAATCCAAAATAGCCTTGGTGTGTTTCACCAGAGTTCTTTGTTACACAAATACCTGCTACTTCTCAATCACTCAGGACAGGTAGATGTGCTGTGTAGGCAGGGCAAGGGGAGTGGAAACTGATTAGTGTGGTCATAGAATATATCCCAGACTAAGTAAACAGCATTTTCTGCTGCAGCATTACAAGAAATTGCTATTTATAGATTGTGCTCATTTTGTGCTGTCTGAAACTAGGAAAAGTTTCTGCTTTGGAAAGATTGTAGTTTCTGTTTGGAAAATAGAAAGGCATTTTTAAGCTCCTTATTGAAAAATAATCTTTTATTTTGACAGAAATATAAAATGTTTCTCTCTGATTTTGTAGAATGATGGACCCAACACAGAGTTTTACAGAATAACCAATTTGGTCCCATACTGTTGATTCATTTCCCTTTTGGACTGTCTAGCAAAGAGATGTGGGTCCAGAAGATGATTTCCAGGGGAAATGGCAGTATTGTTCCTTCAGACAGCTCCCAGGCTAGGAGTCCTCTGGAAGATAGAAGACGTGAAGGAATCTGCAGGATCTTTGGAGGAAGAATAGGCATTTTCTTTGACTAAAGATGTTTGCAGTCATTTCCTGTTTCCCCTTAAATTCTTTTCATAGTCACATTTTTAATGCTAATGAGAACCATAACTAGATGTTTAAAAGATCCTTTATCCCTTGAAACATCTCTTGGAATAGCCAAAGACCAAAAAAAAAAAAAAACCCTAATGAACTAAAGCTCCCTCTCCAATCACCTAAATTAATCAGTGTTAAAGAAAAGTGTGCAGCGTGGTGCAGCCCTCCAGGGCACTCTGGCTGGCTCCATGACTTATGTTGCCTTGTCTAGGTATCCAGATGTGCTGTGGTGTGGGATTATGCTCTGTCCTCAGGTGCCTGCCACACTTACGCCGTGTAATCAGACTGAATTCAGGATGAATGTTGACTACAACAGAAAATTATTTCCAAGCAGCTGTAAGTCTAGTTTAAGCCTTTTAGGATCAAATTTTCATCTTCAATATAAATCCACTGAAGGCAAGAGTTTATCTTTTACAGCTCTTGAAAGTAGAATCTAGAGCTGAGGGTTGCCTTCAAGCAGTTGTCTTCAAGCAGGGCTATCCCTGGCCCTCCTTCCATGACCTTCCATGCTTTTGTTGACAGCCTTAAATTAATGGTCATGGCTGCGTGTGGAATAGGCAGGAATGAAAAGAGTTCCTAACTCCAGGATGTTCTTGCAAGCAATGAGAACTAGTGTTTGGGAGGCACCAGCCCATAAGTAGGGGTTCCCCCTTCCCCAGCTGCACCACTGGCTTGCCATAAAATCCTTCGCAAATCACCTCTGGAGGTTCAGTTTTGCTTTTGTACAGCAGGAACAATGGTTCCTTTCAGCTCTGCCTCCACAGTGGTGATTGCACAGGGCTAACAAGCAGTAATGCAGCCTTCAGGGAGCGCCAGCGCTGGAGCTGCTCTAGCAAGTGTTTTGTACTGGGAGAGGAATGGCTCCTTAAGATATTTAATCAACAGTTTCTGGGTATATACCCCTCCACTTCTGGATTAAATGCTCTTAGTGATTTAGGACTTTATTATGTTCTTCTCTCTTTTGTTTATCTGATGTTCTCATCAACAGGAGCTTCACTTTTGACCATGATAAAGCACTTCAACCATGCTTTTACTGGCTATGGTTGTTAGGAAATCTTAAACATTTTTTTTTTTTAAATAGTGACCCCATTCTCACTTTCTGAACTATCTTGACTTCTTTTAAAGGGAAGCAATAATGAATTTCCATATGAGCTATACCTTGTAAAAAGATTATCTCCATTTGCTCTTTTTAGAAAATTTTCAGAAGGGAAGGCACTGTCCCAATGCACAGAAGCAATTTTTCTTTTCAATGGATCCTGTGACTCAAATCTAAACCTTTGCTCTCAGAGGAACACTTTTCAAATGTTTACTTACTGCTTGATTCCTGATAGGCAGTCTGGAAAAAAAAACAGATGAGGTGTTACTCTTGAAAGTTATACTGCTTTATATTGTTTGAAAGGCAGAGATTGAACTGATTTGTCTAGCAGCTTGCCTTGTCTCAGCTGGGGGAAAGAGTTCCTTTGTAGCTCAGGCTTTTATCAACAGTCCAGTAAAAGTGTTTTATATATATACATAAAAAAATCATACAACATATAAAGCCTTTTATCCCAATGGCTCTAAAGTAGTTGACAAATTTGTCAAATAATTTGTCAACTGTTTTCTCAAAAATTATATCTTACTCCAGAAAGATATCATGGAGGTATTTCTATGTAATGTGAAATTATTCTTCCTACTAATTGCTTTTAAAGTAACAATCAGACTTGTAATGCACGAATGACAAAATTTTAATCTAAGAATTTTAGAATTCCCCTAATTTAGAATTCAGAATTCTAAGAATTTAGAATTCCCCTAATTCTCTTAGGGGATTTAATTAAACATGAAACCACCTTCTTGTACTACTGAAGTCAGGGGGAACTGATGCACAAGATGTGCTGGGCAGGAGAGGAACAACACTGCGTGTGTGCTGTGGGTAACTGGGGGAAAAAATATATAAATAATCGTACAGTGTTCTGACAGTCACTTGGTGAAAACTTCCTGTGTTCTGCAGCACAGCTGGTGTTGTACTGTTGTGTATGGACACAGATTGTTGTGTATGGGCAAAAAATGCATGATGGGGATGCTTGTCCTCTCTGATGCCTCTGTACCCATCCTAGGCTTGGAGAGGAGCCTCTGTGCCAAGAGTGAGTTGTTTTCCAGGGGCTGGTAAAGTTCCTCACAGCAATTTGCCCTTTACCTTACTGGGGACACCATGACCTTCCATAACCACTTTTTCCATATCAGCCTTATATGTGAGCAGCGTTTGCCTCTTCTGGAAGGGCTCTGGATACACATCCCACATCCATACGCGCTCTGCATCTGTTAGGCTTCATCAGAGGATCCTCTTGGCTCCTGAACCTTTCCCTTGTGCAAGTCGTGAACAAAACCCGTTGCAAGGTGACTGAGGGTTTCGTGATGGGATCCACAGCATGAGTGTGTTAATGGAGTCAAGTGCTATTTATTGGCTCCAGTGTGTTTCACTGCACCCTTGGCGCGTTCACGCTTCCTGTATGAAACTTGGCTGAAGGAGTCAGAACTGCAAGACATCATCCCAAATTCCAGCTGGGATGCGTAACTTGGCTACATGACACTCTCCCCTCTTTGCCCCCCTTAACTACTTCCCATGTTAAATAGTTTCTCAGGACTCAAAGGGGAAGGGGGAAATAATCTCCAGGCCAATGATTCTGATAAATAGAAAGATTGCATAAATAAATTAACAATGATTAATAGTAAGAAAATGTCACTTGTCTCACTTGCCTGGAAGCTGTAGCTTGCTGAAATGACAGTCTTGCTGTTGGGGGGTTGGGATGCAGAGATTGAATGATGGGGTTAGGGATTTATTTTATATATATTTTCAAATTGAAAAAAAAGTGTGATTTATTTTCTTTTGCTGCAGCCTGCTCCAAATTTTCAGTTTTACATTAATAGCTGTGGGAACAGCAGTTCTTACTGCCATGTACTTTAGCTATTAGCACTGTGTCTGGTTTGACAGTACATCTCTCAATTTATTTTTTTTATTCCCTTGCAATCATAAAATATGTATCAGCCTTCCTTTTTAATCTCCTTTGGCATGTCCAACTAGTTAATTTGTGTCTTTCCTTCTTTTGAATTTGATTTTTCTAACAACATATACTTAATCAGAAAAAAGAAACCAACTGGCTATTAAAATTTCTTAAAAAAAAATTGAAATTTGATTGAATTCATATTTAATGGTATGATTTCTCCAGGAGCCCCTCACAGCTTTCTACCCCAAATGTTTGCTCCACTGATATTTTAATTGCTGTAATAATCAGCATTCTGAATACGAGGTCTTTCCCCTAGCTCAGTAAATCCATACCGGCTGAGTAAAGCATGTCTGTGATTTATGTGCAGATAAACAGCTTTGGATCCCGTCCAATCACTTCATCAGTTTTAATTCGGCTGCCTAATCAGTAGCAAACAGGAGGGTTGGTTTTTGTTAGGTTTTTTTTGCTTTGTTTTGCTTTTAACAGGGTGTGTGTGGGAGTGCTAATACAGGGTTTGGCATATTCCCCAGAATGGCACAAATAGCTCCCCATTTCGCATCATCTTCATGTCAAAGTCAGCCCTGACTTTCTGAGAGAGTTTATAAGAAGGGGATGAGATGCCAAGCCCGGCCTTTGGGCTTTCGTTGGTATCTAAGGAACCAGGCAGATATGTAGTCTGAACAGTGAGCCTGCTCTTATCTCATAGTTTACAAAGGACATCCCTCAGATGCCTGAGAAAACTGTGTGTGTTTAGGGGTTGATGCCTTCAAAATTGTTTCCACAGCATTCATGTTACTGCTGTTGCTGTTTCTCAGTAGGCAGAATGACTTTGAAGGGGTCTAGGAGGTGGAGGTGACCAGTGCCTGTGGGGTGCAGCTGTGCAGGGGTAGGACAGTGCAGCCCACTCTCACCTTTGCACCTTCAGCTTGTCAGCTCTGTACTCAGTACTGTAAAAGCCAGGGGCATCCAGATGACTCCACACTGAGGCTCTTCTAGCTTAAGGCTCCTGACCACAGCTCCTGACCTCATCTTTGTCTACAATAACCTAACCTTCCTGTTAAGGTTAAAACATTGGACCTTTTACATTATCATCTATTAGTGCTGTGTGTCCAGAGGTGAAGTGTTCTCTGATTTATAAGCAGCCTCTGAAGGATTACAGAGAGCAACCCCATTTTGGCCATCAGATCTAGGGCAAGCAATACCATCTGTAATAACAAAGCTTACCTAAAGAGCTTAGTGTGGTTTGAGTAGTAAACCATGTCTGTGTGTCTCTGAACCTTGTCAGAAATCCTGGCTGCCCTTAATTTCAGCGTGTAACTGTGCCTGGGCTCTTCCTTTATGCTGAGAAACTGCAAGAGGTATTAGTAGCTGTTCTGTGTCTGTTTATTCTTGTTTCATAGCAGCACTTGCTATGCAGGCAGGCAGCAGGCTTGGGAAAGCTGCAATAGGCTCAGTGGCCACCCCTGGACTGTTTAGGAGGTAGGTTAATTGGGAAGAAGGCAGTGGCATTTCTACTGTGTCTTCTTAGGGGCTTACATCATAACCCAGATGACACATGCTACCTGTTTTCCATGTCAGGTTAAACCCTCTCAGCTCTGTGTTTTACTCTTACCAAGAATCTTAACCAGAGCTGCTAAATTCAAACTTTTTGGCTCAGCCTTAATTCCTTGCACACACCCATAGCTGTAGGGGCTTTAATTAGACTTCTGAATCATCATGAAATTCAGAGAATTAGGCTGGGCTGGAGGGAAGGGCAGTGTATTGGGTTTGTGGCATTTTGGGATCAGTTCACAGTGCAAATGTGAGTGTCCCAAGAGACTCTGGGCGAGGTGTTTAATCTAACTGCCATGTTGAGTTTTTTATAGCTTGCAAAAGGGCAATAACACCTCCCTGTCTTAGACTGGCAATGAAGAGAGGATAAAACCCATTAATGAAGACAAGACATTTTGACCCTGTGGTGGTTCTGGTACAGTTCCACCTCAGCTACAGCACTCACTGGGCTTTTTATGTGCAGTCCTTGGAAGATTCTTTGAAAATGGCTGTGACCATTTTTATACTCCTCTTGTGCATGGTCAGAGAAAGGCAGTGTGGCTTGTCCAGGGTTGGGCAGCAGTCAATAACAGGGTGGCAATCATGTCCCTGCCAGCAGGTCCCACTTAGCAGAGCTCAGCTGGCAGCTCTGGAGGTGGAAGCATAGCTTGGGGAAAGCGGAGATGCCACTTTCTCCTGCTCTGCAGAGGATGTGAGCCAGCCATTGCACTAGTCCCCTGGACTCCTTGCCTCAGGATGGGCAGTTTTTCCTTTTCGTTTTGGAATTCTCTGCTTTTGGCTAAGACAGCTGGGATTGGAGATGTGTGTGGAGAGGGAAGTTTGGCCATTATACTGTGTTACTTATGTAATCCTGCTTCTTTTTAATGGATGACAGCACAGCAGAGGGACTACCAGGCTTGGGATTCTCCTGGCTTTGACTTAGCAGTCTGTAGGTTTGGTTCTATTAACCTCAACAGGAGCTCTGAGCATTCCTGTTAAAATTAATGTGAAACAAACTTCCAGAGTCCTAAAAGGTGAAGACTATCCCATCTGTCTGTCTGTTGCTTTAATGGAGAGGTAGGAAAGGTTTCATGTGTAACCTGAGAGGGAATTTAAACATCTGAGAAGAAATTTCAGGAGAAGACTCAGTTTCTTGCAGATCAAAGGCTGAGTTTAGGGAATCCTCTATTTTCTGGCCAAAAGGGAGCTATTGTGTTTAGAAAGGCAGGGTGTAGACCAAAATCCTTCTGGTGATGAAACCTAGAGTTTGTGCTGACTGGTGGCTTATGTTTTACAAAAGACTACCTTTCAGTCCTGGAGGTTTGAGGTAACAGATGCATCTTGTTTTCTTTCAAGCTGGTATGCTGGTCTCTGAGCTGCCTCCTGGGATATCGCCAAAGAAGCGTTTCCACTGTTACCATTTTAAAGAGCAAAGGTCAGCTGGTAGTGAAGGCTGACTCTTTCTGGTGGGTGCTCTTTAGTTGTCCCACCTTCAGGATTCAGCCCTGTCAGAACAGCTGCAGAAATTTTCACATCTTCATCCGTTTCCTATGATTTCTTCCATGAGGAAAGACTGATAGGAGAAGGAAGGAAGGAAATGTGAGAGTCTATATGCATATTAGTCTTAATATGTTGAAAGAGGGGACTGTGAGAGCATTTTCAGGGTTATGGAAATGTGATGAATGATGCTTCTTGAAGAAAACAATTGCTTCAGTCCTCTCAGTGAACTGTGTGACTGGTTCCTCTGTTTCTGCAGTTTGGCTTTTTTTCAGATGGTGCTATATTTACTATGACTTTTTTTTTTTCAATTTCCCCTTTTCTCTCCTTTTCCCCTTTTCCCCTTTTCTTTTTCCGTATTCATACTATATAAAAGCCATTGTTCAAAGAAGAATTACCAGAGTGGTAAGAGGTCTGCCTGTGGCTGAAGTCTGATGGCCTGTCCCTGAGTGCAGCACCTTAACATACAGAAGTCCTCTAGCCTTATATAGAGTTTTGACAGACCAGCTACCAGTTTCCCTGAAAAAAAAAAAGTTTTGTCTTTTTAGTATCTCTATTCCTTTTCTATGATGTAGAGTTAACAGCATGTGCTCCTTCTCAGGAGCATAGTGAGGAAAAACCCATCTGGTTTGTGAATGCTCAGACATTGCTCTAATGGAAGCCATGTAAATAACTAGATAAATTATTTCAGTGGGATTGTCTGTCGAGCGTAATAGGTAGCAGGGTCAGAATCTCTTAGCAATGATTCATTTCTTTCTGGCTGAGTGGGATTTGTGCTCACAAGCCATTGTACAGAAGCAGCTTCTGATTTTTACTTTCTGTCTTTTCCCTGCCTACACTTTGAGCTCCTTGATCTCTCGCTGGTTGGCTCCAGGGAGCAGAGACTACCATGGTCAGTGTCTGCACCGTGTTTACGGTGGAGTTCAGGCCCAGGGTAGGCTCTGTGGTGCTGCCATAACACAAACTGAAGGATAAATTATTAAAAAATAATCTAGAATTTGTTATAATTTATCATAATTTTTGCCTCTTTCCTTTCGTGAGGTTGTGGTAGAATTGTGGGGTTTAATTGTGGGATAAGACATAAGGGTGAAAATAATAAAAATAACCTTTCAGGTGTGGGTTGCTTGAGCAAATTCGTTCATTCTGAGCTTTGCTTTTGGTGTTTCAAAGAGGGGGGATATGGGCTCATAGCTGGTGTGCCAGCTCTCTGCCCTGCCAGGTTTGCTATGAGGGCAGGGGCAAATTGTGTAGGATGCATTTACATGTCTTCATCTGGCTGCAGCTCCTGGATTGACTTGAACAGTTTCAATAGGTCTTCACTAACCTGAGTGCATCAGTCAGTAGTTCTGCTGTCAGAATGGAAAGTGAACTCAGGCAGGGGTGAATGATGAGGCAGAGTGATGGCTGGTGGGGACGGGAATGTTCTCAAACAGGGCACTGCTGTGAGCAATAAGATGTGTGCTCACAGCCTACATTTCTCACTGGTGCAAATCTCCCACTTGGAAACTGGGACAAGAGTGGTTCCTTCCATGAGCATTCAGGATTATGAAAAGTTCAGACAGGGCTGCACAATTTCTGAGTTAGATTGATTGTGTTAAAATATTTATTGTTTCTACAGACATTTGCTGCTAGCATATATACAGACTAGGAGGTTTTCAAAAAGCAAATGATTGCAGGTGAAGCAAGTTTGGAAGCAACCTTCAGATGAGCATTAAGGAAAATTTTTACGCTGCTTCGTGGTTAAACTTGAATAATATTTTCATTACATTTTGTTTCCAAATAATGTCAAAATTCTTTCCCATCAGATAGAAGATGTAGTTAGAAATATCCACTGAAGATTTGTTTTCTGATGTTTCCACAGGTCACTAAGGATTTTCCCTGGAGCATGACTTTGAATATGACACTTCAGTAATGCAGAAGCTGTAAGTAAATAATATCATGTTTGCAACTCTTCTTTAAGAGCCGTGTTTACACTCTTTCCAGAGCTTTGCTGGAACTCATTTTTGCTAGACTTTATCTACCATGCAACAAGCTTACAAGGAAGTGACTGGAAGATGACGTGGTTTTAAAGTGAATTGTGACATTTTAGGTGCTTTGCTTTATTAACTTCTTGTTTAATTTAAGAATTCCAGTAATGGTTGCTTAATCTGCAAGAAGAAAGCTCAAGACATCTGTCAGTATTGCAGGCAATGCCACAAGCAGACAAAAATAAAAATACCTCATTAGCGTAGATTATCGGTGAATAAAATGCAATGATACATTACCAAAAGCTGACATGCAAATCGACACAGGACAAAGGCCAAGAACCTTACTTTGCTTGTTATATCACTAATTAAAAAGGCTTACTAGAAGCTGAACAAATGAACCCAAGGGGCTGCTGACCTGATCATGTATTTGATGGCCTTTGGTAGCCTGATGTCAGAGTTCAGTGTCTGAGGAATCTTATCACAGAGGTAAGCCTTTGTGCAATTCCTGGTTGTGAATACTTGAAAAAGATATAGTTTCCTTCTCTTCCTCAACTTTTTTTCCATCTTTTTCTAAGGTGAATTAGTAAGCTGCTAATTTTGGTATCTCTTTTCTGAATTCTGCATTGTTTTTGCTAATGAATTCTCTCAGATCTGCTCATTTTCCGTTTAATTCAGTCAGCTACTCAACATCCAAACCTTTTGTAGTAGAGAGAGTGCTAATTTTTCCGTTTATTTCAATGGCCTTTCGTCAGGTGTTATCATATAACTCAATCATTCAGCATTGGAATTTGTAATTTAATCAATAAAAGAAGACCATTTTTCTCAAGGAACTGTAGTTTGCACTCAATAGCTGCACACCCTGGTGGCTATGTCTGCCTGAAAAGTAGCAAGGAAAAGAGGTGCCACTATTTTAGAATTAATAGATCTAATTATTTCATCTGTGCACTCATCTTGCAAAATCTAGAGGGAGAATCATGGATGTTACTCAAGTTGCTATGACAAGCACCTTGTATGGGTATTGGCAACCCTGTACATGAGCAGTACTGTTCACATAAGCAGTTTGATATCAAGAGAGACACCAACAGAAGAAACTGCTGTGCGAGGTCCTCTCCATCCTTTCTGTTCACATGACTTTTATTGCACTGCTGTTGCTTTAGACAAGTGCAAGGGTGGTGTCAGACCTGCCTTGATGTGATCACTGACGGGCTCAAAGCTTTGAGCACAGGGATCTCCCTGGCCTCAGTAAAAGGTGTCTGTGGCCTGTGAACCTGCTCTGTCTCTGCCTCTGGGTTTGCTTCCACTGCTTCTGCTGCCCCAGAGGAGGGGGTGGTACTGTGCTTGCTGGGCAGGATGAGGGGATGGCTATTCATTGCTGGCACTGAGAGCTCTCCTGGTTTCCTGCCCTGGCCCATCTGAGACCTGTGGTGTCTGGAAGAGCATCTCTGCTAATTCTGCTGGAGGTGTAAATTTTGCCCCAGGGATGAGGTTTGTTTTGCATTCAGCCTCTGGAAGGCAACATGCCTTTTTCATGCTGCCAAGCAGCTTTGGGCAAGGCCTGAGGGGGAGATTAAATGCCCCGCTGGAGAAGCACTTGTGGTGGGTCACAGCTGGGAGTCTTTCCTTGGCTCCTTGGCTTCTCAGTGAAATTGCCTGGACAGGTCTCAAATATCAGGTCTCTGAAGAGTCAGCCATGGTTTTGCTGATAAATTGCTTGTATCATTGTCTCAACTTGGCAAGGTCTGCAACACTCAAGATGAAAGGTATCAAAACTATTCATTCAGAAAATGGTAATATTTAAAATTACAGTAAATTGTTTGGTGTATAAGGGATATCAAAATGCCGCTTTGCTTATGTCTCTCCCAAAGCCTGGTTGCTAGTGCCATAGCCACATTTTATGCAAATAAAATGGTGAGCCAGCCATTGGTACACACATCTGGTGGGATTTTTAGAACATGTTTTTTAGTTGAAACAGGCACATTAGTTAAGAAAGGCTTGATAATACAACATTTTGGAGAATTTTTAATATGTAGGGTGTGGCATTTGGCTTGAAGATTTTAGAACTCCCCTTGAGTGCTACTCCAGATGGAATAAACAGGTATTTAGAGAGTCTTCAGGTACTTATTTTCCACCTGGGTTGACCAACTTTTCCTGTGGTAAGCACGTAATTTCATAAGACAGTGTAAGACAATCAGCTGATAAACTCCACAGCAACCACCAAAACAACACCCTAAACACTCTGTAGCAAAAGCTGTCACATAATTGCAATAGAGACTTATGTCAGGGTTTGTTAAGTGTTGAACATCATGAATTGAAGAATGCCTGGACAAGCATTGCATTGGAATTGACTGCCCAGGGAGGTGGTAGAGTCACCATCCTTGGAGTTGTTCAGGAAACTACTGGACATGGTACTCAGTGCCATGTTCTAGTTGACAAGTTGGAGATCAGTCAGAGGTTGGACTTGATGACTCTAGAGGTCTTTTCCAACCTAGATGATTCTGTGATTCTGTGCGATTCTGTGATTGAAATGTCTTGGTCCTAAATTCTCAGCAATTCTGCCTTCCTGGAGCACTCTTGAATTCAAGTCCTGTTCCTGCTTTGCACAGCCATACCAGAAATTTTTGGACAAGGAACATATGCAGTGTGCCAATCAGACAGCTACAAAATCTACAGAACTGCAACTGGCTGACAAATCTCTCCCTCTGCCCTTGGATAATACCATAGAAGCCTTTTTTTGTATGAGCAATGTTGTAAATATTGTTCATCTTTTTTTCATAATGCTATGTTTAAGTCTATTTCCAACCTTTCAACAGTGCCAAAGGATTACCCAACATGTACCATATGATTGCTTATGATCTCTGATTCCTTCTGGTGCCCTCCAAATAATGTCATTAAAGCCAGTGCCGTTCTGCCTGTTGCGTTTAGCCAAATATGAGAGCAGAATTTCTCCCACTGAGTAACTTAATGTGCTGTATTTGAAGATTGACTTTCAAAGCAACAACGTTTTGACTGGCCAAAGCAATCAGTGTTTTGTGTGGCCAGGCAGCCTAGGGAACCCTGCTGTAAGAAGGGAAAAGCTTTCTTATGAGGACTGTGGTTGAAGACGTTTCTTGGGATTGATTTAGCACTCAAGAGCTCAGTGCTTTGTGGAACTGGAGCGTCTTCAGAAGTAAGCAATGGCACATGCAGACTGCCCCTCTCTCCTTCCCAGATTAATGACTTCCTTTTTTTTCACCTAAAAAAGAGAAAATATGTAGTTATAGTTTAGTCCTGCTTTACAGTGGTGTTTTGCACAAAATCATGTAGGTGTATAGTCTGTCCAAAAATATTTACATATATGTTCTTTAATATTTCTCCACTAATATCCCTTACTTTTAAGTTGCTAAAACATTCTAAAGCACTTGGTTTGTTTTTTCTGTCCTGCTCCCTGCACCAAATCACTCATTCTAGTGATTCAATGCAGATCAGGAATTTTGGGGGGAAAAAGAATGTTGCAGCCAGTTTTAGCTCATCTTTTAAAGGTTGTTGGGTTTTGCTTCCACGGATTTTGAATTCAACAGGCTGCAGAAGGACTGGGTGTCATTTAGCTATTAAAGATTTTTGTTTTCCTGCTTATTGTGAAGTAGCATCATTAACACAGGGAAATTACCATGCTTCACTGTGCTGTGTCCATGGTACATTAGAGGCCCTTTTCCATTGGTAAAGCTGAGTCTATTCTTCTGTAAAATCAGGGTCCCATTGGCAGTTCTTTGGCTAGTGAGACAGAGGGACTATTTATTGAGAAGAAGAGTGGTCTAATAAAGGGGAAGAAGTTGAACGTGACAGCAGAATGTTGGTTTATAAATCACTCCATAACTGGGCCAAAATATTCATCCATTTTCAGAAGGCCAGGGAGAAAGAGGACTGCAGTTTTGGGGTAAATGAGCAACACAGTTTTTCCAAAGTGCATTTTAGAAAAGTCAAGCACTCAATCCATTTCTCTTCCCTATACCAAGTGCTGTGCTTTCAGGCTAGTGGAAACTGGTTTGTATTGCTTAATTTTCTTCTTTGAAATGGCATATTGGCTTTTGGTGGAGAAATTGGACTTTTGCTTGAATATGTCTGTATTTTACAAATAGCTTTTTAGTTTAATAAGATGAAACCAATTAACCAGAAAAGTCATTGCCAATGGATTTTACAAGTACATAAAAATATATTGCTTTTTCTTGAAACATTTCATCACCCTTTTAAATGTTCTTTTTTGTTTCCTTTGCCACCAGCGACAAGGAACTGTGATGAATTTGTGCCCTCATACCTTTTCCTGAAAACGTTGATCTTTGGCCCTGATTGTGTATGTGTGTGTAGGGGGGTGTGTGTAGACATGTGCATATGTATCTATTTATTTCTGTTGTTTATTTCTTGCCCCAGTGTTCTGTGTGTTTAACTTGTGGCCTGAGGTAAAACAGAGCACACAAGCTATAAAAAGTGGGGCTATAAAAAGTTATTCTTAAAAGGTTACTTGAAGTGGCACAGGACCCAAGGGCTAATGAGCAATCTCTCAAAGCCAGATGTTAAGGCTGAAACATTTGGCACAGCAGAGACACTGAAGAAGGCAGTAGCACCTGGTTGTTACCCCACTGCATCCCTGGGAGAGGACATGTCTCCTGGAAACTCTTCTGAGGTCCCTCATTATTCCAACTTTGCCTTGCAGCTGAGGGTGGGGACAGAGACCCACAGTCCTTCAGTGGCATGGAGCTCTGTGGAAATGAGTTCTGGCCTCTGCCTGCCTGTCTCTGAACAGTATTGCTCACTTAATCACCTATAGCAATATTTTACTTGGAGGGAATTCTAACATGAGGCCCTGCCAACCTCCTCTACCCCTAAATTTCCATCAACTCCCTGCCTGCAAGAGGGCTGGGGAACACGCAAGGCATAGGCGCATGATGAGGAACTATAGGATTTCTATCTCCATTACCTCA